TTTTTTTTTTTTTTTTTTTTTTTTTTTTGAATTTTTATTTTTTTATTTTTTACTCGTTTAATTTTTATTTTTTTGAATAAAAATTTAAGTGCGCCTTTAAAAGACTGGTAAAAGAAATTTTTACTTAATCAGTTTGAACTTATCAAGTTTAAACTTGGTGAAACTGTAATTAATATAATACAGAATAAATCTAGGCTAATCAAACAACAAACAACAGTGTCAAAATATCAGGAAAAAAAGTGCTATTTGTATGAGAAGTCAAACGCCTTTACAGTTATATCAACGCTCTCCTTCTCTTTCATTACCGCTTTTACTCTTTATAAAAAAACCTATTTTATACCAGCAGTCAATTTTTTGAGCAAACAGCAAAGCCTTTAAATAGTACTGCTAAAACAAAATGAAAAAATAGCTTACATTGAATAGCACTAATTTACTGATTAAAAAAGAAACCCAATTACAGTAATTTGAATTGTATTTGCAAAACAGTTGATACGTTTCATAAAGCCTCAAAAAAAGGCAAACAAACTACAAAATTTTCTAACAAATAATAGTTAAAAATAAGCATATTGAAAAAGCAGTTAAAGCATCTATGTACAATATATTAGCAGCAGTAAAACAAAAAAAAATGACCACCTAATAAACGTTGAGATGTAATCACCTTTCATTGAAAGAAAAAAAAAAGACAAATAAAAAAGACAGATGTCAAATGTGAGGATGAATGTACTGGAAAAATTTTTCAAAAAAGTTCAAAACATATACAGTAAAGCTAATAGATATTTTACTCTTCCAACTCATTAATTCTTACTTTTTAAACGCATTCTACCTACTAAAATGAACTGTTAAGGTTGTTTAGTTTCAGTATTCTTTTTTCTTTACTTTGTCCATTATCAAAAAGCGTTTTTTTTTTCTTTCTAATTTCTTTCCTGACGCAAACTTTTACTTTTCATTTTAATTCTAATAGCTGTTAATCAGTGTAATAAACCAAAGATGGGAGAACAGCAAAGAAACGAGAAAGACAACAAAAACAACAAAAAATAAAGAACATAAAAAAAAGGTACTATTTTATTTTAATACTACAATGACTTCCGTCTTCTTCTTTTTTTTGTGTTTTAAATTTGAAAAACACAAAAAATTTTTCAATTTTTTTTTGTTTCAAATAAAATTTTTGAAAAAAAAAACAATTCTTTTCAAAAAAGGTGAAGTGCCGTTCCCAGCAAAATTTTTTTATTCAGAATAATTTATGATTTAAAAAGAAAATCTGTTTAACTTTTGACAGTTTACTGTATCC